TCACAGGGGGAAGAATTCGACAGTTATTTTTTTAAAACGTTTGTTTATTTAATTGTCTTCGAGAGGAGAAAGAACATATAAAAACTATAAAAATTCGGAATGAAAGCATTGTTTTAATACTTTAACGAGGAATTACACTTACGATATGTTGGTTTACAAGGCCTAACTTGTAGAAATTAATAATAATATCGCTAGTTGGGTGAGCTAATGACATGTACCAATCAGAAACGTGCGAACTATCAATTTTGCACCCCCCCCCCCTTATACATTTTTTTTTCGCGTTGTCGAAAAAACGCCCCCCCCCCCCTTTTTTGGAAGTTTGGGGACGATTTTAATCAGTAACTATCTCATTATATTACAATTGGAATTTTGTATAATAACACATCTTGGAAAACATATTTTCATTTCTTTTTCATATAGTTTTTATCAAGGGTATTTTTGCTGTCAAGTTTGTGATGTCAAGTTTGTGCTGTCTAGTAAGTTCTGCGAGTTTTTTCTGTCAAGTTTGTGCTGTCCAGTTTGTTCTGTCCAGTTTGTTCTGTCAAGTTTATGCTGTTAAAAGCCTCTATAAAACTCATCTAGTATCACTACACTTCTGCAGATGAAGGTGGCAGTAGCGTAGCGAGGGGGGGGGGGGGGCGGGGGAGGGGGGAATATATGTCCCCGGGCGCCGACCCTAGGGGGCGCCAAAATAGGTTGGAAAAATAAATTGAAAGGTTGAGGGGGTGCAAATCGAAAGTTTGAGGGGGGGGGTGCAAATCGAAAGTTTGAGGGGGGGGGGTGCAAATCAAAAAGTTTGTCCCCGGGCGCCGGGAAGGGTCGTTACGCCTCTGGAAGGTGGGACAAGGAATTCACAAAGGCGACCTACTGACCTCTTAAACAGCACACGGACCCACGGAGCAACACACCGACCCCTGTGGCGACCACCCGACCTACTGGGACAAGGCACAGACCCCGGGACAACCAACTAACCCCCGGAAAACCCACAGACCCCCACGAATGACAGAAAACCTGAAGCCCTGGAACAATCGCCTAACGGGACGACCACGAGAATCCACTCGAAACTATATGAGGTCTACAGCATCCACATCCACTTGACATGTGTCCTACAGCACCCACATCCACATGACATGTGTCCTACATCATCCACTTGACATGTATCCTACATCATCCACTTGACATGTATCCTACATCATCCACATGACATGTGTCCTACATCATCCACATGACATGTGTCCTACAGCATCCACATGACATGTGTCCTAACGCATCCACATGACATGTGTCCTCACGCATCCACTTGACATGTGTCCTACATCATCCACATGACATGTATCCTACAACATCCACTTGACATGTATCCTACATCATCCACATGACATGTGTCCTACATCATCCACATGACATGTGTCCTAACGCATCCACTTGACATATGTCCTAACGCATCCACTTGACATGTGTCCTACATCATCCACTTGACATGTGTCCTAACGCATCCACTTGACATGTGTCCTAACGCATCCACTTGACATGTGTCCTACAGCATCCACATGACATGTGTCCTAACGCATCCACTTGACATGTGTCCTAACGCATCCACTTGACATGTGTCCTAACGCATCCACTTGACATATGTCCTACATCATCCACTTGACATGTGTCCTACATCATCCACATGACATGTGTCCTAACGCATCCACTTGACATGTGTCCTAACGCATCCACATGACATGTGTCCTACATCATCCACATGACATGTGTCCTAACGCATCCACTTGACATGTGTCCTAACGCATCCACTTGACATGTGTCCTACAGCATCCACATGACATGTGTCCTAACGCATCCACTTGACATGTGTCCTAACGCATCCACTTGACATGTGTCCTAACGCATCCACTTGACATGTGTCCTAACGCATCCACTTGACATGTGTCCTACAGCATCCACTTGACATGTGTCCTAACGCATCCACTTGACATGTGTCCTAACGCATCCACTTGACATGTGTCCTAACGCATCCACTTGACATGTGTCCTACAGCATCCACTTGACATGTGTCCTAACGCATCCACTTGACATGTGTCCTAACGCATCCACTTGACATGTGTCCTAACGCATCCACTTGACATATGTCCTACATCATCCACTTGACATGTGTCCTACATCATCCACATGACATGTGTCCTAACGCATCCACTTGACATGTGTCCTAACGCATCCACTTGACATGTGTCCTACAGCATCCACTTGACATGTGTCCTAACGCATCCACTTGACATGTGTCCTAACGCATCCACTTGACATGTGTCCTAACGCATCCACTTGACATATGTCCTACATCATCCACTTGACATGTGTCCTACATCATCCACATGACATGTGTCCTAACGCATCCACTTGACATGTGTCCTAACGCATCCACATGACATGTGTCCTACATCATCCACATGACATGTGTCCTAACGCATCCACTTGACATGTGTCCTACATCATCCACTTGACATGTGTCCTACAACATCCACATGACATGTGTCCTCACGCATCCACTTGACATGTGTCCTAACGCATCCACATGACATGTGTCCTACATCATCCACATGACATGTGTCCTAACGCATCCACTTGACATGTGTCCTACATCATCCACTTGACATGTGTCCTACATCATCCACATGACATGTGTCCTACAACATCCACATCAAGATGACATGTGTCAACCAGTGATGGCCTCAGATCGTTTGGCTCACCTTGAAATATTCGCACTTAAAAATATTAAAATGTAAACAAAAAAATACGCTAATAATATTACATATCTTCAAAATAGTTCCTCAAAAGTAATTTTCTTTCAAAAATTAAAACGTGTCTCACTAAGATTTGGGCGTGTTTTTTCTTCTTCAATTCATATGCTATTTTAGAAAAAGTTTTGATAAATAAGTATGTGATATATTTTTTCATACAATAGTTACAGAGGCGTAGCGCCCCTTTTCGGCGCCCGGGGACAAACTTTCAATTTGGCGCCCCCTCGGGAGCAAAATTTCAATTTACACCCCACACCCTCAAACTTTCGATTTGCACCCCCCCCCTTCCACCATATATTTTTATATTTATAATGCAAAAATGCAGCTAAAATGATATTTTAATTTGTTTTTCCAACCCATTTTGGCGCCCCCCCCCTCTTAAGGTCGGCGCCCGGGGACATATGTTACCCCCCCCCCCCTGCTACGCCTCTCTGAGATAGTTATGTAAATTGTTTGAACAATGCTAAACTGCAGTTTATGTGTACTGATTTGGTTAGATTCATGAAATAATACTGGTATGAATGACGCCATTGGGTCAACCCAGATTTTATTTTGGCCCCCTAACAACCAATCACGCATGACCCTCTGAGAAATAAGATATGGGCTAGAAGAAGATTTGGCCTAGAAAAACACTTTCAATTCATGGTACACAACCTTTCACGCTTTCACGGCTGTGTATAGGGGGAGTAGAGTGGGTGTGTTGTCATAGTAACCAACCATCTGTCATATCGTACTGCCCGCCGGCTATTACATGTTTCAAATCCGGAAGTGATTTTAGCAGGCCTGTTAAAGTCTATCCGTGTATCTTCATTAGGCCGATACTGTATGCGATACTGTAGGCCTGTTAAAGTTTATCTGTGTATCTTCATTAGGCCGATACCGTAGGTCGATACTATAGGCCTTTTAAAGTCTATCCGTGTATCTTCATTAGGCCGATACTCTGGGCCGATACTGCAGGCCTATATATAGCTTTACCACAAGATCAGAACTATCTTTCCAATATTAACAGACAAGTGACAACAGGCACAAATCTACCGCCACAGCTTTTAGCTAACATGTTTTAAGTATTACAAAATGTCACTCAGTGACACCATTTAGGGGGTGACACCAAGGAAAAAAAAGGCAAAATGTACAGAAGAACATTTTTTTTCAATTTAATTAATGATTAATTAGAATTAAATAGTCTTAAAGTACTAGTTGACAAATCTCGACCAGCGTGTGAGTGTATGTGAGGGAGGGAGGGAGGGGATGAAACCAGGACGTAAACTTACTAACGAGAACAAAACACCCAGCTGTATCAATAAAGATGAGCATCGTTGCTATCATTTATGCACAGTTCAAACCTAACACATGGGATTAGGGGGGGGGGGGGGGGGGGGGCACCAACTGAAACCGTTGCAAAGTATATACGATTACATAATATTTTTGGTTTTGATGGGGAGTTTGACACCATTAAGTGCCGCAACCGGCCTAGCGACGCCACTACTAGTAATTATTCTTGTAAAACACGTTACTACACATTATATTTCTACAGCCTATCAGACTAAGTTGTATTCTTCTTCTTCTTCTTCGTTCTTAATTGTTAGTGTTGAAGGGGATCGAGATTTATCTGCCAGTGGGTTAGAACTCGAGACTTTGTTCGAATTTATCAACCATGAGCTTTTTTGCCGACTCGACCACGCCTCCAACACAATTAAGCGGTACGTGTCAACTAGTTATGCGCCATTGAGGCCATTGACTCCGATTTCAGCCTGCTTTTCTTTTTGGATTTGCTTCCATAGCCTTTGTCCAACCAAGAACAAACTACAAGGCAGCAGTTGTTTAATTTTGGAGTTGTCTCTCCTAGAAGAGTGGCTGTCCCTAGCTAACGAGCCTCATCTGCCCGAGGGTTCGAACTCGAGACTTTTCGGATTAGCAACCATGAGCTTTACCGACTCGACCACGCCGACCCAAGTTGTATTCAAAATCGAGAAATCCATTTCATATTAATAAAGTGCGTGTTGTAGCGCACATTATCGATGCTTTTTATAAGGCCTTGTATTTTGTAAGATTACATCTTTAGCCTACACCTGTTCGCCTTGACACTGATAACAAAAAGAGCAATGCAAGTGACGTCACTGAATGGCGGTTCGTTCAACTTAGCCGAGTGTAGAGAAACGGAAGTGGAGATTTCGTCTGCTAGAATACAAGGCCTAACAGGGAAAATTCTTTGTGTTGTTGTTGATCATGTTTTTTAAATAGTAACGACAAAACTGTGTTATGAAAAGCATCAGTGCATTTGACAGATTTTAAATAAACTGATTCTCCAATTTAGTATATAAAGGTAAGTCTACTTTTTGTTTTACATAAACTAGATCTTGTATTTTGTTGTTCTCTAACAGAGCTCGTGTCGAAGTTAAGAATGAATGGTAGTGGTAGCCGTAGTCACTTGTAGAAGACTAGGCGAGGGCAAGGCAAAAATATGTCGAATACGATACATGGGGAAACAAATTTCATTGTTATGTCCATTGTTATTACTACACAGGTCACGGACAAGCGTGTTTCTGTTACACACCATTGCACATTCTGTACCGGCTGTGTTAACTTAAGTGTGTACTGTGTCTGTGTGTTGTACTATTTATTTACTATTTATTACTAGATCTAGACATCTAGATCTAGATCTAGTCTAATTTAGTAAACAGATCTAGAATCTAGATCTTTCTAGACCCCCCACCCCCTGCCCCTAGAAATAGAATCTATTAATTTCACCACTATTGCTTAGATTTTGATTCTGAGTCTGTGTAGGCCTAGATCTATCTAGAATCTAGATCTAGATCTAGATATCTAGTTACTTTTAAAATATTTTAGGGCCTATTTTAGCTTGCACACTAAGCCAGGATCTATTAGTGTCTATTACTAGATCTAGACACTAGACTTCACTAGAGTGTCCTACCTAGACCTATCAAGATTTATTCAGTTACTGATTGATACTGCTCACTAGCTTACTCACACTACACTGCCATGTTGTTAATGGTTAGAATTATCTTTATATCCATTGAACTGTTTAGGCCAGGCAGTAATCTACCAAGTGGACCCAAACAAAAAATTAAAAGAAGTGACAATAAATAAATTGTCTCTGTTAAAACAGTGTTATCTTAAATATTTTGCTTTAAAATTTTAAAAACAAACAAACAGCACCAGTGGTGTCACAGACAGGGAAGGGGGGGGGGGAGAAGATTTCTGCACCATGAGACATTTTAAGACTGCCACCAAAACCCAAAATTGCACATAAAAAGTAAAAGTTTTGTAAAAATTTGTTAATAAGGGCTAGTGTTTCTTTCAGACTTTTTTCTCTGGGACGGACGGTGAAGGACGGACACGACTTGATTTTTTTGGGGGGACGCGACGGGACACTGGTAAATTTATATATTTTCTATATAAATTTCCATTTTGATCGGGGGGGGGGGGGATACAACATTGATTAATTGCAGTGTTGTAGTAGGCAGGAGTTTGTCATCGGAGGGGGGGGGGGGGCGTTTACATATGCATGTAAAAATTTTGTGTTTTAATATTCACTATTTAGGAAGTAAAAGCAATGAAAGCTTTACAAGCAAGCCATCACCTATATCTGTAATTATCCACTAGACAACAGACAAAACTTTCTATCATATGTGGGGGGGGGGGGCCTTTAAAATTAAAAATTGGTAATTTTAGAGAAATAAACAAGTGTAATAACTGATCATAAAAATAAGTGTCTCAGTCTAACAAAATGTTCAACTTGAAACAGTAAAATCAAAACATTTTCCATACGTACATCAGTGGCGTAGCGAGGAGGGGGGGCGGGAGGTGCGGACCGCACCGGGTGACACCATTTAGGGGGCTGACACCAAGGCAAAAAATAGCAAAATATATGTGCAAATTGAAAGTTTTAGGGGGGGGGGGGTGCAAATCGAAAATTGAAAGTTTATCCCCAGGAAGGGTAGCTAAGCCTCTGGGGGTGACACCATTAAGTGCCGCACCAGGTGACACCCGACTTCGCTACACCACTGCCGTACATGATGTTTAGCATTTTTGGTAACTGATTGTTGTTAAATATACCATCAAGTACTGGTGATATACAAGTGGTGTCACCAACCTGAAAATGGTGAAACTTCTAATGCTACAAAGAATATAATTAGATCAAAGGAAATTTGGCAATGCTAAAGAGGCCCCTAAGGATCTTAGCTTAAAATTTATGGGCTAAGTGTGCTAAAAATAGCAAAGTTTGTTTAGGGAACATTTGCATGTAATCTTATAAACAAAAAGACTGAAGCCTTACCTTGGCATACATGTTAATTCACTCTGTTCAGGAGGGTAGATCTGTAATGAGGCCATACTCATGGAAGGGAAGGGGGTGGGGCTATAGGGAATCACCTGAATGGGAGTCTCAAAATGTGTCTTAAAGAAGCATGATGTTATTGGTATATGATTCCAAACACTCTTTGACTTCACATCAGGACCTTATAATATTGGTCCTAATAACTGGCTGGTTTGATTACACAGTAACATCTATATATATTATTCTCGTCTTGGAGACCATAGAAAACACCAAGCTGTAAGTGCGCCTAGCAGCCCCCTCTCTTCCTCTCCAGGCATATCCCTACCACCCCACATGGTCTGGTGAGCTGTGGTTCATGCTAAATGTTTACAATGTAGAGCCGGGTTTAGTGATGGCTATTAGGGGCAGATAATTTAGTTTGAAATGATTTTAAACTTAGGGGAGGTAACTAAGAGGAGGCTGCTTTCACTGTGGGGGGGTGGGTATCGTCCTTAATGATCTACTGATAGTGTTTTAAAGCAAATATTTTCAGTGGCAGCATTGGTACTGTTAAATTCACAAATTATGAATTACCGAAAAGTAGAAAATTAAAACAACTAAATAGCTGCGTATGATACGCCGCTGGTCCGCTCGTGTATTATGTTACAAGTCTATATGGTCGATGTAATGAATTAAAATTTCAGTCAGAACCTATCATGCCGCACACACATATGCTGAATATACAATCAAGAATTACTGAGTGTTATAAAAATTGCTCTTTGGAAAAAGATCTGATTTAAATTTTACACTGAACTTCATTTACCCAATAAAGATGTAGATGCAAATTGGTTCATTGCTTTTGTCAGGAGAAACTGCTTTTTTATCCAAATAAGTGATAAATATACACTTTAGTACCAAGAATACTACAATAAAAAAATTTCATATGAGCAACTCACCAGTGTTATGTTTAACATTGACAAGAATTAACCTTATGTAACATTTGTTCAATCTCAGGCTACATCAGAAGGAAACATAGATAACAACATGAAATGGTTAATAAATATAACATAAAGATTATGCCATAAATCTGTAATTTTTTTTTTCTCATTTACTTATTCTCCATGAGTCAATTTGTTATTTATGTGACGTTCCATCTAAACCCACTTTTCCATTGTATTGAATAATTGTAAGCAGAAAATAAGTCTTTCTTTAATAGCATGCTTACAGAGAAAAATATTAACCCCAAAGTTAATGATATTATAATGCTAATTAAAGAATGTTAGTGTGATGTCACACATTGTCAGACAACATCAAATACCATTTCTTGTGAATGTGCATGAGAAAAATGGTTTCAATGATAAGTAATGTATTGTGAAATAAAGGTTGCAGTAGCAAAATCTGAACTGTAGAGAAAATGTATCATCTTTGTTTTTTTAAACAGACTTAACATTCAATTTGTCGTTTATACTGATATCTTTTGCAAGTTAAAAGGTTTTGTAAATTGAGAATTTTAAAATTGAAGCTATCAACAACTTATCTAATGTTTTAATTCTTGTTGTTTTGTTTTTTTACAGGAAAACTGTAGAGACTTGCTATTAATGTGATTTAGTAAAAAGGGAACAAATCAATCAAAGGAAGAGCTAAAGGAACGTGAAAGGTAACATATTGAAAATCTAATGTGGTCTTTAAATTTGGTTCCTAAAATAATTTATTGATTTGTCACCAAATTTTTTGTTAAAAATGTGTCTGTAATGACAATGTGACTAGTTCTTTGCTGGTGTTTTAAAAAGCGTTATATTAACTGTTTTAAAAGTGTAGTTTGTTAGATGGAACATCAAATGTTCGGTCGACCAGTCCAGGATCCAAACGCAAGATTTTTGGGTTAGCATTTGTGGACTATAACAGTCACAATTATGACATCGCATGTAAAACCTGAATACTTATGTCACATTCTAATTGTGTCGCTGGCTAGGGGTCATGCTTTTATCACATCCAAATGTAGAGTGGAAGTGTCAAAATTCCAATTTTCTGTGGATGACACACAATTTTGGTTGATGTCCTGCTATTTGCTGGCTTGTTCGGGTGTAATTCTGATTGGACTAGGTTTTTCAATAAAGTTAAGTTTTGATTTTCATGTTGTGTGTAGGCCCAATTTGATTGTAGTTTTGTGATAATTCATTCCTATCTTCCTGCACTTTGCTTCATGTAAAAAAAACTGCTGACTTCTGATTTTAAATTCATGATTATTGCATTGTAAACTTTTAAGACATTTACCATGTCAATTTTATTGATTACTTTTTTCTACCAGCCTAGCAAACTTGAACTAAACAATGGAAAAGGTTTTTAGACTATTTTAATTCAACCACCCTGTTTCTCCTGTTCTTTTTATAGCCAGTAAACTAATTTTCTTAAAAAGTAAATATAGATGGGTCTTTAAATAGTTAATTTATTTTAGTTATAGAAACAATAAACTCATTTTTTAAAGAAGTAACTGTAGACAGGTTCTCTAAACGGTTAATTTGTATTAGTTATGCCTAGATATTGTTTTTTATTTTCTTCTCTATGCATGGTGCATCCTTTTGCCGTGCATCTGTTAGTGGTGGCTTACAGTCCATTTTATCGTTTTTCTTTAAATGTTATTGCTGTGGTCAACTTTTAATGGCACCACTTTCTAGGGCAGAAGGGAAATGTCATCCATAAAATCCGATCAGTTTCGTCCGTGGTGTAGCATCTTACAGCTAAAAATAGACGTTGTTTCTCACCCTTTAGTCGGCCTGACCTTACGACCTTTTCACCCCTAGATCGACTGTACGCGCTTTTTACCGTCAACACGGGCAGACCCTGACCCCCTTAGTTTAAAATTGGCGGTGAGCGCCCATTGGTTCTCACGTGCAGGCGTGTGGGCTTGTATTGTTTTCTCTCAGGGACACTTGCTCACTTAGCACTGCATGTATTGACACTGTCTTGGTGGAGTCTAATTAATTAATTTTAATTAATTCAAGTATAAATAGAAATACCATTAATAATATACAATATATATTGGTTCTACATTAAAGGTTAAACTACTATCTTTATTGTATTAGTATTTTAATGAACTCAGAACCAATTAAAGTTTTTAAAACTCAGTTTACGAGAATGTTCTCAAATAGAGGTAATTAAAAAGTAAACAGACCCTATCGTGCGACCGTGTGGGCTGCTAAGCACCCCACCCCCTCCCCAGAATATCTGATCCGTGTCCAAATAGATTCATTGACCCGTACTGCTATCTTGAGTTTCCCCATCGCAGACACGCGCCCCTAGCGTGCCGCTGTCATTTCAAAACTTTCTTTTCATTCGCTTCTTTTGTAAGGAACATTTTCTCTCAATGCGTCTGTGCGCCAGCTTGACTTTTGTACAGGAACATTTAAGTTTGCACCAGTAGGCACAGCTATGTAGGTCTGCTAGTTCTAAGCAGGGTTTAAATAGTTGAACCAGGCTCTGTAGTCAACTATTTTGATTGTAACAATCTATGGTGAAAGAACTCTCCTTTAATGTATTTTTTTTCTGTTTATCATTCTTTTCTAAATCTAAACAGGAAAGCAGTCTTATATTGGTTAATGTTACGATTAAGTTCTATGGCTTGTCACATCATACAAATGAGTGGTGGTTTTCAGAGGTCATGTTTAACCTAGTAAACAGTCTTGACCTCAGCTGTCATGTATAATGAATGGCGTGTAATTAAATTATGCTAAATAAGTTCCTCAACGTTATGCTGATGTTTTCATTTTTGTTTTAAAAGTTTAAAAAAAATCTGCACTTCTTATTCTTAACCATAGCAATTCATTCATACGTTGCTTTTATTATTCAGCCCTGCATTTAAAAATGTTACATTTTACCATTGTAATTACTCAACAAATTCAATGCCCGCTTTCTTTCTACCATGTTCATTTCAACATGAATAATACCCATGCCAGATTCCCATCTTGATAATGACCAAGTAGGAATGCGCCGTCTTCCGATGGTGTAATTGCCGTGAGATAAAATAGATGGGTAGAAACGCGGACTGCTTGTGTCAGGCTGAAGCTCGCCTATTCTTCCACCCCGGCCCTGGGTGAACTGATTCTATTCTCTTGTAATATTGGGTCGGGGAGATTAGGAAGTGGGAGTGGATCTGGAGCAATCTTCCGTTTCTCTTCCCTATCGCGGTAGGCGGAGTACAATTGATTGGGGCATTGTGCCCCGTCTCAATCGGCCTTACAGCTGAATGTCAAATCTAACCTACAATTTGCTTGCAAGGAGTTGTGGAGGCGACAAAGCGTACACCGATGACACGAAATGAAAAAAAGTCAGCTGTTTCTATGATGTAATATTACATTTCTTGATACAAGCTTTTGAATGTAATGGCAGTCATTTACAAGCATTCTCGTTTTTGTAGTGCGGGATTAAAGAAAGATGAATACTATTCTTTGTCTGACATATTGTTACATGTTTAGCCTGATTCATATACTGACAATTTAAAAAAATAAAAAAATAAAGCGAGTTGTTGTAGCTGTCGTTGGTGTGCTTTATAATACAAATGACTTAGAGTAAATACAATTAAAAGGCGGTATGTGCAATATACCCAGGGCAAATAACACGACACAGACTGCGGGTTTAGAGCACCCAGCCGTTCTTTAATTGTTTCTTTAATTTGAAGTGGAGCCGGCAACAAATTTAGCTGGTCTTGACAGTTATGTCCCTTACGATGCCCGTATTTTCCTTGTGTGACGTGGGGCCCGCCATGACTCGTTTTGTCCCCCCCCCCCCCCCCACCACAGCTGTATAAATCAGTTTGGGGAAAAAACGGAGGGAATTGTTTTGTTGATTAGCCATGCTCATATATTCGTTGAGCCCGACTTAGAGGTTTAAAATATCTTGATTTGTCGAGTCTCTCTGAATGTATATATTGATGCCGCACATACATACCATTTTCTAAAATGTAACTTGTATTGCCCTTACTTATTTTTATAACTGGTATTTCTTTCTTCTAATATCGACCTATATACATATCAAAAAAAATAAAATGCATTAAAAAATTCTCCATTGCTAGGTGTGATGTTTAATGGTGTGGTGTTGCTTGATATAAGGACAGTGTGCATTTTACTCCAACTTGCGCAAGACTTATGTTTTATATTTGTTAACTTTCTGACTTTAAATTGTTTAAATGTGAACTTGTAAAACTTATTACACAACTACCGTTCTTGAGCCCTCGTGTCTCTTGGGTAAACGGAAAAGAAGTCACAGGAAAAAAAAACACAGAAAAAAAGTCACAGTTTTTGCTAGGAAAGAAAGTCACAGAAAAAAAGTCACAGTGGAAAAAAAATTTTGGAAAAAAAGTCACAGAAATAAAGTCACAGAAAAAAAGTCACAAAAATATTTTTAGAAATATTTTTTTATTTGTTTAGAATTGTAAAATTTTGTATGTTTCTTGTTGTGGGTTGTCTTTTTTTATAGCATAAATTATTTATAGACTTAAAAGCATTATGGTTTATAACAATTGTAAGTAAAAATACTCTAATATAATTTACACAACAACCTCAACTTTTGTTACGTATTTAGTTAAAAACGCGGTAGAAAATTTAACTATAAAAAAAATTTAGGCACATTTTGCCGTAGGCTATTCTCTGGTCGGCCTCTCCTCAGTAGGCTTTGTCCGAACATATTTTGTGTTGTTGACGTCATGCGTCAATGACAGCATTTGAACCTTGTCGACTTTCTGTTTTGATCCTAAGTTGTGTTATGTAATGAGCGTGATAAATGTGGGCAGTAAAGGTGGTTGAACTAAACATCTAAACATAACTATTGTGGCCATGAGTTGAGGGCAGCAAGTCAGACGAACTTACCATTTCACGGTAATTTAATGTTGGTATTTAAAAAAAACCAGGATTAAAACCGTGGACTTTGGAGCATTCTATTAAACGCTACTAATCTTAAGTTTAAAATAATTACAATCTACATACTTCATACTAAATATTTTTAGATGAATTATAAAAATTCCTATGCGTATACAGCCTACACACATTACATTACATTTAATTAATCCTAAGTTAATTTGCACTCTCTGAATATTTAATACATAAAAGTATTAACAAGTATCATGCAAATATATATTTGTGACTTTTTTTCCTGTGACTTTTTTTCCTGTGACTTTTTTTCCTGTGACTTTTTTTCCTGTGACTTTTTTTCTGTGTTTTTTTTTCCTGTGTTTTTTTTTCCTGTGACTTTTTTTCCTACTCGATATGAAGATAACACGAGTTGAAGCCTTCCTGTAAAGATAACATCTAGGCAGTGGCCGTAGAAAACATCTCTTATCACAACAACTTATGAGGGCCGGCATTGTGGTACACGTGAGGCGGTCAGTAACCTCCCACACTACTGCTGTCCGGCGGTCAGTAACCTCCCACACTACTGCTGTCCGGCGGTCAGTAACCTCCCACACTACTGCTGTCCGGCGGTCAGTAACCTCCCACACTACTGCTGTCCGGCGGTCAGTAACCTCCCACACTACTGCTGTCCGGCGGTCAGTAACCTCCCACACTACTGCTGTCCGGCGGTCAGTAACCTTATACCCCACACTACTGCTGTCCGGCGGTCAGTAACCTTATATCCCACACTACTGCTGTCCGGCGGTCAGTAACCTTATACCCCACACTACTGCTGTCCGGCGGTCAGTAACCTTATATCCCACACTACTGCTGTCCGGCGGTCAGTAACCTTATATCCCACACTACTGCTGTCCGAATGAGCGCCCTTATCCCACCCTGTCCGAACGGGCGCCCCTGGATAAGCAACCCGAGAAGCGTGAAATAGATTATACCAAAGTCGCTATCGCGAGCCTTGAGAAGTTTGTCCCGATTTTGGAAGGCCTACCTGTCAGGACTGTTGATAATAACAAACTCCCTCCTTCTCTAAGGTCAGCCGAGAGGTGGTTTTTTTTTTTCTTTTTTTTTTTCCTTCGTTTTGAAATTCATTGGCTTGGCGCTAGGAAGCAGATATAAAGACAAAAGGATTGTGTGTACACATCGCGTTAGAACACATGAAATATTCATGTTACGTGGCCGTACATTTAGATAATAATTTACACCAATCTCCACCACTAGTACTCCAGCTATGATGATGTTTTTCGCTCGACAACTTGTTTCTTGTGTTGTTTATACTTAAATTCTCGATGGATTCTTCTTTTGTGTCAGACGTTGTAAAGTAAGTTTCACCTGTGATTTGCGGTGTTATCATTTCTACCCGTTCACTCGATACACTAAACATTATCTTTCTTGATTGATTCCTGCGGGATGTATGTTCAGTCTCTTAAAGTTTCTTTGTGTCTGTAACACGCGAATCTAGTACACACATTTTGTAGTAATTAAATTTGCCAATGAATAGTTATATTGATTATCGAATGTTTTTATTTTTCAAATTAATTCTACAAAACAAAGGATAAATCAATGTTTACTGAATATAAACTTGACCAATGATGGCTAAATAAATCGCTTTATAAATTTTACTGAAGTTAGCTTTATGTATGCATTCATCTTCCACTATCCACTAGCAAACACAAGTAGGCCCGTACCAAAGAGAGACTATCCAGTGTTTATCTTTTCCCCCCGTGAATTACTTTCCGTGGTCAGTCAGCGGTAGTTAAATAGTCCCACTACTGAAGTTCAAAGATTTACTAAACGTTAGCATGATAAACTGTTGTCTGTGTTTTGTACTCTTAAAAACGAAATACCCATTAGTTGATGTAAATGTCGACACTGAGCTGCAACATTGTCCAGAGGATCTAGTTAGTCACTGTTTCACAATTGACGATATAACATGCCTATTTTATTTCTGTTTGGTGGCGAGTTAATGCTGAGACCCGTCAATTACAACACTCGCTTAACCGTTTAAAGATATTCCAAGACAATCTGTGTCCTCCCATAACATGCCTATTTTATTTCTGTTTGGTGGCGAGTTAATGCTGAGATCCGTCAATTACAACACTCGCTTAACCGTTTAAAGATATTCCAAGACAATCTGTGCCTGCTCGTCAGCCCGGTGAGTAATAAATTGTCCCCCCTCTATAAATGCCCCATCAAGGCATAAAGTTATCGGGTTGTTTACATTGTGCATCCACGAGCCGGCTCTCATCCGTCACTAAGGCGGTTCTAGTTGTTTGATCTGTCCTTCGATTCTACACTAAATATGTCCCCCGGGGACTGGCCATCCCCGGGCTAGTCTCGCTGGGTTAACGTGAAGCCGGCGTTTTATGGGTGTGTATCATACACTCACATTTGTCTTGTAGCCGGTACACGGCCAGACGGACACTCAGGGCACAGGAAAGGTTGGACACACGTTGGAATTCTACCGGGAGCAAGGAAGAAGGGTAGCTGTCTCGTGGCCTGGTGGATAGCGCTATTAGCTTCTAGCCGCTGGACCAGACGCTCGTGGCCCGGACGTGGTCCATCTTGGCACGCGCAGCTGGAGGCTCGTGCTAGACTCTAAAATGGCAGCGCCAAAAGTTTTAAAAGCAATTAATGTCATATTACTGCGGTCATTTGTTACGGTTTGCAATAACTTCAAAGGGTTCGATCAACAAACCAGACTTCGAAGAAGGCGATATATATTACAGCCCTATCGTCTCTATCTTAAGTAGTCTGCAATGTAGTGATTGATAGCTTTCTGCTTATATATATATATATATATATATATATATATATATATATATATATATACACACACATACACATACATACACAGAGAGATATTCATACTCTATAAATGTGATAAGCTTAACAATAGCACATAACAAACGTTTAGATCCATTACCTATAGTAATTAGAGTCAATTTTAGTACTTCAAACTAATTTCATCAACGGATGATAGTGCAGATTTGTTGACCGGAAATAAATGTTCCATTGTAATAACTAGTTGGTCACTGAGACATTAAGCTGACATCAACGAATGTCTGCCATCGATAATTACTTTGTTACGTCCCTTCGTTCGTCCAGATGACCACACAATGACTTGATTACTGATCTGCAATTATCTGTACAGTTTAGCCTAGTCAAGCTAGTTAAATTAAATCGTTACCGGCGCCCGCCAAGAGTAAATATACACATGTACATCAGTCGCCGATCTAAATCAACCGCTTGTTAGGTGGTTATTTTGTTTAGGGTTTAGGGACACAGCGGTCGGTCTCTGTGGAAACTGTGATGTGTATTAGAAGTGAAGGTACACGGGATTTTTATATTTACGAAAGGGATACTGGGCTGTCGCTCGTTACATCATTGCTACGTGTTAGATGCTCGCTCTTATCTGATTGGCTTGCTGTCTCTAGTAAGCGCCGCATCATTTGCTGATTGCGGGGAAACCCCGTTTTGGGATAATTAGCAGCAAGAGGCTAATCACGAAGTTCATCGGAGCTGTGACTGACGTCAGGATCCATCATGAAAAATCTCTTAGTCTAAGTTAACTATTTAACTTTTTGCTTAATTATTTTATGGTGTCTTTTTGTATTGATACGTCAATATTGGCTACGCTTACACATATTGAAAACTAGAACAATTAATTACTTCATTATTTGAATTGTTGTCTTTTTCTAGGCGGTTCAGTCCCTTTCCCTTCTCCATTTTAAATCGTTAACATATTTAAAACGTGTGGAATCGTTGCTGATTATTTACTATTTGTTCTAAAAAAAATATCTTAAACCGTTACAATGTTTACATGGCCTGAAGATTGTTTTGACATTAAACACGTTACGCGATGTTTGGCTGGTCTAAGATGGAGGTGCAAAAAAAGAAAGCATGTGTTTAACTGTATCAGGCCTGTTGACACACGTGACAGGTATGAAAGGGAAGGTGTCAATACCCTCTGACACACAACCTAGGATCTCATCTCCAGGGTGGCACCTCGCGCTTTGTCGTCGTCAGCCCGGGGGATAGATCATGACACGTCAAATACGTTCCTGGTCAACAAAACTGCACGCTCCATCTTCATCTTATCACAGGGCTTAGAGATATGTTTACAGGCTGTTTCTCGTCCAAGGGGTGTTCACAAGTTACGTCTAAACACGGCGAGCGGTCTCAATAGGGCCCGTACAATACCAAGAGCCGTTAAATGATTTGAAGAATCTTCTCCGCGGTACGTCAACGGCAGCATGGGTAAACAGCGAGGAGTTGATATTGTCACCCATTCAAACACTAATGAAAATATCAACACGACTCCACTGACCAAAGGGCGATTGCGGTGGCTTCCCCTTCCAATCCGTTCAAACAATCCGACAATGTTAGCTCAGGAACTCTGTTGTGTTTGTTTCAAGGCGAAGATTTGTCGTTTCTTCGTCCAGGGGTATGGGAGGGGGGGGGGGGGCTTTTGCTTGCTGAAACATTTGGGGACAGAGATCGTGGGAGAAAGATCCTTACACGCTAGTGTAGTAGTTTACTTTAAACTCCTCTCTCTTAACATAAAGTTTGCTCATCCATATCTGAGCATGGTGTCTAAGCGTCAACACAGTTTGGGCTTAAATTCAGAGTAAATTCAGAGTAAATATTTAAACTATTAATATGTGTTGTCTTTACTGAGCTTCTTTGTTTCTTCGAGAGTGTTGTTTAGTGTAATAATCGCGGGTCACCATGAACACGCTCGAGTGTGTATGACGTCCATGAGTCCACCCAGCTCTGGTGGGTACCTGACTCTAGTCGGCGAAAAAAAAGGTGTCTTAACGTTGTACTAACCTTCATTAGACGAGGTCAATGAAAGACAAATCTATTTCATCAACTTTATCGCCCAGCAAGTCTGAGGCTTGTATTTCTATAAAAAGTATCACTATTTATTGCAAGCTTATACTTTCTTACATGGGGTTTTTACATAACTCGTCTTACCATTTCCGTTTATTCTATACTTATCAATCTAATATAAGACGTTGCTAATAATTTCTCTATTTTTGCAGCTCTGTGATGGAGAACTGTTTAAAACGTCGTGACATGGACAGTGACCTGGAGGAAACGGGTGATAGTGACTTTGAAAATGACCTTGAAACAAGTCTTTTAACCGCAGAAAAAAACCGGCACCAGCAGGGTGATGCCGGTGGACTAGTCAGTCCGTACAAGCGTCTGAAAGTGGAGGATTTGACTCAGTCGTCTGCTGACTGGGCCTCAGGGCAGGGGGAGGCTCATAGTCTGCTGAAATCTTTGGACCACAATCACAGCCCAGCAAGCTCACTTGAAGACGTCAATTTTCCTCACGATAATGTTGAAACACGAGCATACAATACCGTATGGCAACAGACATCCACATTTGAACTGGCTGTCAACCCTGGTCAGGAGAAGTTCAACGCAGTCAGCAATACTTCATACGTTGGGGAACTTTGTATTGATGATCCCAAACAGTCACTGGGAAAGAAAGAATTTCCCCCACCTCCTGCCATGGAAAGTAAGAAGTTTGAGATAGCATCCAAACCCCAGCCTTATGACTCACTGTTGCTAGCGTCTTACCACCCAGATTTCCAGACCCTTGAATCCAAACAAATTTCCTTCCACTCTGAAAGCTCCAGCACTGAACCAGTGGCTGAGATGGAGGTGACTACCCCAGCGGGGGTGCCACATAAGGCACCACTCCCCCGGCAGAACTCCTCAGCAAAATACTCCGAGTGTATTGATTTGCTGGAGATTCACAATGGGGAAGACTTTCAAATAGGTGTAGAACAAGATAGCCCAAACTTAACAGATAGACAATGTGTCCACCCTTCAACAAACAGTTTGTCTGGCTGGGCTGGTAGCTCCCATAACAGCAAGTCTGTCAGTGCCAACTTGTCCAGCAATGATGTACCTGCCAACCTCAAGTCTATTGGTGTCAGTGCTGTTGGGGTGACAGCTGCTGTAGCAGACAGTTGTGTGACAGCTGCTGTAGCAGACAGCTGTGTGACATCCAGTGTAGCCGCCAGCACACACAAGGGTTCCCACAGTGACGACATCTCAGCCGTGTATGATTCTGTTGATTCAGACCCTGAAGGTACCGTGTGGTCAGAGAGGTTGGTCAAGCCGTCCTTACCTTGCTACAACTCAGCCAGTTTATACAACCTTCACAGTGACTTCAGGAGCTCTAACATAGCCAGGTACTTGACATAGTTATTGCCATCATCTGTGTGTAGATGATAAAGTCATGTTTGCTACTGATGTTCTAATTTTAAAATGGTTAACCCAATTAATAATAGAGAACTGTCAATACAATTTTACTGTTCTTTACAACTAAAAGAGAAATAATCAGTTATATTACCACAGTTAAACCATTGCTTTTGGGTCTATTCACAAATCTTTCACACAAGTTCTATTAAAAACTTATTGTTTACACTTTAAAGTTGTTTACTTAATATCTAAATTCATTAGCACCTCCTCATCACCATCTTAAAACAAATTAATCAGTAAACACTCATTTTAAAAAAAAAAAGTTTTTAGTTTATTGTCCATTGAAAACATTCTTAGAATTAAATACTACCTTTTTTCTGTATTTCAAAGGTTTAAATTTGAAATGCAGAAATAAATGTAGTTTTAATGAATAAACTGACTTATAAATCTAATAATTTTTTTTCACTTGTGAAATAAGTTTTATTTTCTCTCTTTGTTCACAAGAGTGACCAACTTAAACATTTTTATGTCAAAACTCCAGGTTCAGTTCACAAGACAGAGTGGCCAACTTACCGTTACAGTCTGTTGACCACATGGGATGTCCACTCCCATGGACCCCAGCTTATGAGGAGCAGTATCAGCTTCCATCCATACAGCGTCAACTCTCATCAGGATCTTCTGCCAAGTCTCACCACTCCAACCCTCACAATGCAGCGTCATCCTCTGTAGAAGAGTTCAGATCCCACTTCCTGAACTATAAGGAACTTGCTGTGTCCTCTACCTTGATGAGGCCGTCCAGACACAGCTCCCAGGGCTCCCTCCAGAGTGGCAGCTCACAAGACAGTGGCTCCTACAGAAACTACCAGCAAAGGTCCCTTGGTTCATCGCGCCACAACTCCAAATCTTCACAAGACAGTGTGGAGCTGGTGGAAAAGTCCTACCCCAGTAGCCTGGTTATATCAGAACACAGCAGCAAGAAAACATTTTTACAAAACTCAGGTCAGAATTTCTTAAACCAATGCACTCTATTATTTTAGTGCTACATTATTTTTTTAAAAAACTTAATAACTTGCTTATTGCAGTTTAAAAAGGTATTTGTTACAATAATGGCTAAACCCTATACCACAATACAATGGCTAGACTTTGTTCCAGGTTGGGAATTCCATAACATTTTAAAAATAATTTCAACACATATTTCAACCTGTTCTCTCTATTACATCATCAACAGACAGTACCAAGTCTTGTCATTAAACTCTCGTTAGAAAACTTGAGTTAATTTCATGGGATGTCATGGTTAACTCTAGCTGACATGTAACACATCATTTGTACAAACTTTAAAACGGTTCTCTCTATGTTGCCACTACAGTCATCACTAGACAGTCTTAGTTGTGTCATTAAACATTAAACTCACTTTAGAAAACTTGAGGTAATCTTATAGAACGTCATGGTTAACACTACCTGACATGTAACACATCATTTGTACAAACTTGCTGCTAAGATGTGTGAGCACATTATTACCTGAGTTCTCTAGAGTGGTCTCAGTGATGCTACTTTACTCTTGACATCCCTCGCCTGCACAAACGGTGTACCATCTGTAAGGATATTAGCCATTTTAGCCCGCAGTTCTCCGTGTGTTTGCGTGATATAATGAAATATTACGTGGGCTCGCCTTCTGCCGTCAAGTAGCCCTCGTTGATTCTGTCATCTCGGGCTGATTGACGTTACAAAGCAGCTTTTATAATGAACTGTCAATACATGACGGTGTGTGTTCTGTCCTGCTGTGAACGGGCTTGACATCTCGCGGTAACCTTTTGGAGATCACATCGTTTCGTGGCCCGGGCTTTGTCCGCCCTCACTTGGCGTGTCAATGAACGTTACCTGTACGGGGACAATAGCGGTTGGAGGCAAACAGTGTTGGGCTCCGTACGGTACAGGTAACGGTGTATGGACATCGATGGCTGATAACCCCGCGGTTCAGTCGTATCAGTCTTATCATATCGAAGGGGGGGGGGGGGGGGAAACCCCAGCATTTCGGCCATAGCGGTTTTATCGTACTGGTGTGGGGGGGGGGGGTGTATAACGGCAGTTCAGCTGTATCACGGACACAGTGTGGGTAGTGGGAGCTATCTAACGTATGTAACGTAGCCCATTACATCATCATCCTACAAATACGTATGGCGATGATTTAAAATTAACATGCAAAATCGGAATAATAATGGGTAGGAAAATTTTATTTTTAAAAGTTACTTCCAGAAAGTCATTATTATAGAGAAACCGATGTTGTTGTTACTGATAAAAAACGTGGGACTAGTTATCTTTGTGGAGTGTGGGGATATAGAAATTTAGGTCACCTATCAGTTAAGCTATATCAGTAATATCAAGCATTGACGAATATGGGGGGGGGGGGGTTACTGTTTGAGATGAAGATGTGATATGGGCTCCAATTTGCAGCGGTGGCCGGTGGCCTGGTGTTGTACCGTAAAGATCACGTGATAACTTTGTAACTGACCTCACCAGGGCAGATAGAGATGTCCGCTGATGTGAGCTCTCCTTACGTGATCACGTCAGATGTTTGATCGTGTGTGGAATCTTTGCTCCAGGGCCAGTCGTTTTACTAGTGGCACACATGGCGTTGATACTGGTCAAATATGCGGTGTTTAAATGGTCAGATCTTGTTTTACTGGTCAAACATGCGGTGTTAGATGGTCAAACCTTGTTTCTGATCTGACCAATAGAACTAAAAATTGTGTTAGAAAAACATTAACATCATAGAAATTAAAAATCTATATGGCAATGTTTGGTTAATTTTAAATACAAATTTGTTACATTGATTATTGTTTAGTATATAGAAAAATGAATTATATATCCTACTATAATTTCAAATATTATTGTAGGAAAAGAAACCTTGAAATGGTAACGACCTTGTGCATGTGTGCTCTGGTCAGTCATAAAACAGCTTATTGAACATACATCACTGTGTACAAGAAACCTAGACTTGCGTAGATCACTGTGTACAAGAAAATCACTGTGTACAAGAAACCTAGACTTGCGTACATCACTGTGTACAAGAAACCTAGACTTGCGTACATCACTGTGTACAAGAAACCTAGACTTGCGTACATCACTGTGTACAAGAAACCTAGACTTGCGTACATCACTGTGTACAAGAAACCTAGACTTGCGTACATCACTGTGTACAAGAAACCTAGACTTGCGTACATCACTGTGTACAAGAAACCTAGACTTGCGTACATCACTGTGTACAAGAAACCTAGACTTGCGTACATCACTGTGTACAAGAAACCTAGACTTGCGTACATCACTGTGTACAACTAGCATAGACTTGCGTACATCACTGTGTACAAGAAACCTAGACTTGCGTACATCACTGTGTACAACTAGCATAGACTTGCGTACTTTAGCGTACTTTACTGTGCACAACTAGCCTAGACATGATGTTGAACGTGTATTTTCACGAAAGCCCCTGAAACCGTGTGCTCTAGCCGGTCATAAAACTGTCATAAAATCGTTTTCATCATCCCGTGAACAGTCTGCCATTATTCCGTTGGCAGTTTCCGTTACCCTATGCTTATCCGCCATAAAGTCCCGACGGTCCGGTCCGTCTCTAACCCAAACCCGTGAAGCATTACGTCAGCAGACTAACGCTCGTCGCGTCGCCAAAACTGGTGTACGGCTGTTGGCTAAAGAAGCATGTGACATTTTTATGGCCGATGATTGGGCTTGCACCTTCCCTGGCGAAGGTGGCGAATATCTGAAGGACTTAAGCTGTCGTTCCCACACTACGCTGAAACCTGGTATTAGAGCCCAAAGTTAACTGCCGTGTAATGAACGGTAGATAATAGCGTTTCGCGTTTTGGTAGTTTTTTTTTTTTTTTTAAATAAATAAAATTGGCTCTAACCCCACTCCCCCAACTGACTTTTAGTTCCTTGTATTAAAAAAACGATCAGAACCCTAGAAGTGTTCTCCCTACAGTCTCCACTGTTACCATTGATTACACCAGCCGCTGATGTTTTACAACGCATTAGTTGCCAGCCCTCGGCTAACAACACCTGAACGGGCCCAGACTGCAGACGGATTAGAACTTGTTGACACGGTCTGCTCGAGTTGATCGGCCAGTCGTTAGTTAATCCCTGCTAATCCGTTTAGTCAATCTATGTGAGTGACAGGTATCATAACGGCACTTTTAACTGGGCGGGTATCTATAACATGCAATAAACTATAGTTTGATTTCATCGATTTTAATCTGTACAAAATCTAAATGAGATACTTTATTGCCTTATCTATCCACTCGAAAACGTAATTATTGGATTAGTCTCACTTTATTGTAATTGGATAAAATGTGAATATACTATCTACGAATGTATTTTAAACGTTGTAATCAGAGTTTCTTCCAGGCATCTCTTCTCGAAGAAAGTCTACCCCCCCCCCCCCCCGAAATAGATGGATTTCATATAGTAAACATACACTTTTACTAGTGTCCGCCCCCCCCCCCCCCCGAAAAATGTTGACCGCCCCCCCCCGAAAAATGTTGACCGCCCCCCCCTTCTTTCCCCCCCCCCCCCCCCGGAGAAAAAAGTCTGGAAGAAACACTGGTTGTAATTACATGGAAATAAGTATTAGAAATATATATTTTAAAGTTCTAGTTTCAAGATTTATGTCTATCGTTCCATTCCCTTTATGTCTGTAGACTAGATGCTGACAGTTGTAGGCGTGAATACACACATAGACATCGACACACTGCAGTCTCCGATATTAGGTAACCAACCCATGTAAAAAATGCCAAAACTGTCTTGTATCTCGGTCTAGTGTAACATTGTCCGCCTCCCAGTCTGAAACGGTACTGACCAGTCCTGCTACGTACGTCATCCAGTCTGAAACGGTACTGACCAGCCCTGCTACGTACGTCATCACCTCTCTGTTAGGTGTCAGTCCTACGTAATGCTGGCATCTATCCTTGCTCCAGACGCTGGTCAGTGTGACGTCATTTCTCAGGGTAACTCACCCGTGCCGTCACGGCTGTCTAGCTAGGTGCTGTAACGGCCCTGTGCTGTATGCCGTTACCTCACCCAGACTTAGCTGACACGCGGGTACTGGCCCTCGTTACAGCTCAGTTGCCAGACGATTTATGGCTGGTAACGTACTTGGTATGTACCAGAGAATCTTCCATAGCGCCATCGTCCGTCCCAGTTAACACGTCATCATTACACAATCACGGCTGGGGCGCTGTGTCTGGTTGGGAACGATTTCATGGTCGAAAAATGTAACTTTTAGAAGGCAGGCACTGGTGATGTTTAAAGTGCCAGCCCTCTTCCACCCCCTCCCCCCCCCCCTCCCGCCCATGCTGTCAATTTATTTGTTGAACTTGTCACAGTGATATTAAATTCTAAATAATTCACTATTACTACTTAGTTTTTACTATTGTTTGATACTATTCTGACGTGAATTTAATGTGTAGTTTACACTTGGTGGTGACGATCTGTAACAATACTGGGCTGATCGGATCTTTTATTACAGAGGCTTTTCAATCAGTTCTATGAATGCTACTTTACTTCACAGTTTTCTAATTTAGAATTTCGTGTTTGGGGTGTTAAGCGTTTAACTAATCTATACATACATTGTTATTTGAAGTATTATGAAAAAGTAGGTTTAAAACATGAAAATGTAATTGCAAACCCTGGCACATTTCCCACACTTGGTAGAGGTCCTCGACCTGGGCTAGAGACGGGGGGGATATTTTTAGAACATTTGTAACCTGGCATTGCTTCCGGTAACACAAGACCCAGCTTCTAAACATGGTTACTGACCCTATTCCGGACAATTCAACTTGGGGCGTTCACCGCGGACAAAGGCCAGGTTTTCACCGGTGACTGTCACCGTCCGACCCTTGACCGATGTTAGCTTGAAGCCACTGCTGATGTTTTACAGCGACGCCTTCCCCTATATGAAAACAACAATAGCTGTTTTCCCGCTGGCTTTA